ATACACATATAATTTTAAACATAGAATTATTAGGCTTAGAACCGCAACAGGCGCACGCAAAGTGAAGCCGTTTCAAGTTAGCCTTTTAAGGCTAAGTACGACTTTCAGCGTGTCAGTACAGTACTCGAGTCCACGTAGTCGTGTAAAGAGCTCGCGCCATTTTGCAAAAAACAACTTACTGTACTTTAAAAGGGTGTCACAACTCATCACATAATCATGAAAAAAATCTAAAAATCTCATTTCACTGGTAATTACTGCCTAGCATCTTATATTTTTAAAAACATTCATCAAAACATAATAATAAATCTTAAATTTGACAGACGCCAATATAATGAAAATGTTGCTAGGCATAGTAAAATATTTTACCCCATATTTTCTTATTATTATAATTACATACTGCCAATATGGGACTATTATTGTTGTATTTTTATTTGACAAATAAAAATACCTACAATATTCACGCATGAGTAGGTATTTTTAATTGCCAATTACTATTATAGGGTTCCCACTTGCCAAGAAAAAAAATGTGTTGATTTTATTTTGTTTTGTTAATGTGCAGTTATTTTCTTTTTATAGTATGTGTTTTAGGATAAATACCCTATGAACATTTTTTTAAATTCGAATAATGATTTACATACCTTCACCATTTCCTAAAAAGACGATACGTTTTACCACTAGCCAACAGTGGTGTATTAAATTATGGTAAAGACAAAAGTTCACGTTTAGCCAAAATAGCACAAAATTATTTATTTGTTTTTAATGAAGTGGATAATAACGTGAATATTATTGCCAATTTAAACGTATTCGTTTTTAGATTTTCGTCTGGTCCGACTGTTGCTGCTCAACACAGACCACCCAGCCTACAAGACATGAAACCATTACGATTTTCTAATTAAATTAGTCTGTCAAGGTTAGAAGAAAGAAAGGTGTGCGGGTGGCGCGTGAGATGTAACTTAGAGATGTGTCACATCCATAAATAGTACGCGTAAATATGGGAGACCATGAAAACGTAACGTAATTATAAAGAAATTAATGATGCGTAAAATACACCGTATAATACAAGTGAAATTCTTTAAAATATATACATGTATTTTACATGTCATTTACAACGCTAATCGCTTACCATAAATCCGTTAAGAGCGCAATGTGCCTAAGAAATACACAAACATAATACATACTCTCGAAAACCATGACTTTGTTTCGGCCCCGGCCGCGACGGTCAGGTGAAAATATCTACATTAGGTAAAATTAACGTAATATAAATATGTAAACAAAAATTACCTTTATTTTTTATTAATTAGGGTTTGTAAAACTGTAATTTGGATTTCAAAATATAATTACATATAGATTAATATACACAAATATAATAGTATGACTGTTCGTCTACACAAAAAATAATAACACAATAAATAGTCGATAAAATTGCATCGATACTTTTTTGGGCATTTCTACTTACATGTGCCGCCTGCAGCCCCTCTGATTGATAGACAGAGACGCAACTATAATACTGCGTGCTTGACAAGGACAACCTCAGAACTACGACCAAAACACGTTCAACCCTCACGGTTTTAGTATTTTAAGATTATTAAATGATGCATTTGTCGGTGAAACGTGACTTTATCCTTCTTGAAATTACGTTTCCTGCTATCACTATCACACCACTTTAATGCGCAAGTGGGCATGTTTTACTGTTTTAATTTAAAAAAAATTGTAGTGCTAAGGACGCAGTGCACAGGTCTGTTGTCTGGTCACTACTAAACAGGGTAGCGTTCGTGTTCAACTGTAGAGGCTCTGGTTGAGCAGATTAATGGTGGTTAATATAACGCATAGCGCCATATTATAGCGCGCTATCTCTTCATAACACATAGCGAGTGTTATGTAAGTAGTCGCCATGGCGCTATTGCGCTATGGCGCTTTGGCGCTATCAAGTATTAATATCTAGCGGAAATTAGTTTAGTTCTAGCAGCAGTGCTGTTGGGAGAGGACGTGTGACGCAAATTTGATCTCGTTGCGCGGCCTAATTTAATGTTAGACGTTGTTTAGTTAATGTATACTGTATATTTATAAATGATCAAAGGACACAGTTGTGATAAAAGAAGCATAACTAATGTTTTTAAATGTAAATAAAATATAGATACAAAAGTGTTATGTACACTTTTGTGTATGTAAATTATTGATTTTTATAAATACATTAAATAAACTTTTTATTTTAAGGTTAAAATAACGTTTACATCAATTATGATAAAAAATAGATAAAAAGTAATTAATTTATCTCGATTCTAAAAATAAAATTAATCCTATTTTAAATAGTACATAACTTAAAAATATTTTTAAGATTAATGAAAGTAGTAAGCCTGAAAAGTATGAAAACGCGTGCATTGGTTTTTCTTTACCGCTTTATTTTATTTTAGTCTAAAATACGAAATAATGTTCATATATAGCACGCGATCTATCTAATGAACGACATGTAATGTAAAGTGCTAAGAGATATAACGTGCTGTAAAATTTAACGCGCTTACCGGCTTCCTACACGCTTTCTTATAAATAGCGCGCTATAACATAACGTATTTAATAGCGCGCTAGAAATTTATAGTTTATAGTCCGTAGCGTGCTATTGATATATAGTCGTTATGAAAAACTTTAGAGCAGATGAAGTACAGAAATTTGTCGCCTTTCTTTACATATCTCGTAGGCTAGGTGGTCTGTGCTGCTCAATGAATTGAAAAAATTAGACTTAATCGCAAAGAAAACTAACGAAAACTAACTAATTTACGTTTCTAATGTAGTTTACTCCATTTGTAGTATTGCTGAAAATAATCTGCGAAATCATATTAAGCATAATGCACAGGAAAACAATTCAGAGAAAGAGCTATCTCTCGAAGTTACTGCCAAACTCGTTGGTTGTTCTCTATTTCCTATTGTAGAAGAGCACATCAATTCGCAACATCACGACGCAAATCTGGCGCGGCTTATTGTAGAACGTTATGTAAGAGTTCGATTCTTATATGTATCCAAAAAAGATAATATTTCGCGGATAGCATCATCAAATCGGCAGTTATTTAGAAAACAGTTGCAGATGCAGGTAATATCATATATTTATATAAAGACGTTTATATAACACTTTATATACTTATATAAATATATCTCTTCTAACAGAATAATATAATGACATAATAGATTTGTGAATATTATTATAGCATGTGATATTACGTATATAAATAATTTTAATAAAATATTAGTTAACAAATATAAGTAATTTTATATTTCTCTCTTTGTAAATTATTAATAAATAATTCTAAACGCAACCTAAATATAAATTTTACGACTATGTCTACTATTACACTTTGCCCATTTTTTGGGGAAATCGTCATTTACTTGCATACTTTACTCATTTGCTTGTGTGCGTGTGGGCCAGCCCCCCAAATAACACTATCACTAAGTCTAATTACTCTATGATTTTATAATTAACTCTTTCTTCATCACGTTCGATTGTAATGGAAAAATTGTGAGGAATCGAATTTCATAAGTGTAAAAGTTGATCCTAATACCTTTTTTCGCGAAATAGCAATATCTACACAGTTATGTCAATAAAAAATATATTATCCTAGTGGAATACAATGGACCAGTAGCCTTCTCAGTGATATAATACATACAATATTTATTATAACAAAGAAAATTAAAAATAAATTATTATTACTGTCTATATGGATAAACTTGGAAAGTCAAACATTATCTGGATAAAAAATATTCAAGTATGTAGAGCTGTTTCCGTGAAACCAAATATATTACGTCGTATATAATAATTGACCTCTTAAAGTCTCAAGATTAATAAAACCCTTAGAAGGAACCATATGCGAGTACTAGTTACTCGTAATGGGTAGTGTCAGCTACTGGGATACTACGAAGACGCTGTTGTTTATAAATTGTTGCCAGTAAAAAATAAATATTAAAAAGATAGTTCCAGCCACGAGTAGGGTTGATGACCTTAATGATATATTATATTAAAAAATATTTAATTAAAATATTCCGAATGGTTGGATTCAGTCCGTATCAACGGAAAAATCAACGGTGTCAAATTAATGGCCTCAGGAAAAGTACGTAAGTATTGGAAGTAAGATCTAATTTCCACTGGCAATTCAGATACTTGTGCCTTTTAAAATATTTTATTTGTTCCTTCAAATTTGAATTATAACGACCTAAAGTTATATTTTATTAGCGGTAAGGAATGCGTAGGTGTCAATACGACTCGTTAATTAGAGTTCGTAATTGAAATCGTTCATTAAACAATATATTTTATCATTCCTCAGCTTCCAACTATTGCAATAAACATACCTGATATCTTATATACATATATATTAGAGGTAATCCAGTGGTCGAAATTCGACCGTGATTTATTAATATCTAAAGTTTGTTTAAGGAATTTATAATTATTAATGATATATGAATGAGAGCTTAATATCTTCCGCTTACCCGATATCGCTAGTCGATTTGAAGTTGTTTGTTACACAATGTAATGATATACAAATCAGTGATCCAGTGATTTTCTCTTTAATTTTTTTAATTTTTATCCTTTTATGTATATTGACGGTTAGTATTCTTTATATTTATTCTAATTAAATTATATATATATATGTATGTATATACACACATATGCGGGTGTGTGTGTGTGTGTGTGTGTGTGTGTGTGCGTGTGTGTGTGTGTGTGTGCGTGTGCGTGTGCGTGTGCGCGTGCGCGTGCGCGTGCGTGTGTGCGTGTGTGCGTGTGTGTGTGTGTGTGTGTGTGTGTGTGTGTAATATGTATGGTCTGTATTACTATGCAGCAGGACGATGGATGCAGGCTCAAGACCGTGCTTTATGGCATTTATTTGGCAAGACCAATATTTAGCAGTGGATTGTGGTAGGCAGTAATGGTGAAATTACTGCGAAATTACGTATAATTGAAACAATAAGACAGTTAATATATTGCCAGACTCGAAAGAGAAAGCTTGTTTCTTTGCAAAATGAGCAGGTACCTTTAGAGTTACCATGCTGCTGACTTATGGTGGGACTCCGCTTGGGTTAACTAAACCTATCTGTAGTGTCACAAACACGGTGACAATCACGTACTCACAGAATACCAGCGTAAAATAGAAGCTTACTTCTGCTGTATTTCATATGGTGAGTGTATAGAACCGGTGATCCTTTTTACTGAAAACGAGACATTCCATCTTAGTACTCAAGGCACAACCGGGAGAGACCCTGGTTCGCTCATAATACCAGAATGGAATAGCAGCATAACGCTGATGTGTTTTGTTTGGTGTATGTAAAGAATCGATGAACCATTTAACTGGTAACGAGACATTCCACATCGTACCCAGGAGCGATGAAGCATATGCATTTTGATTCTTAATCGAGGCAAGATGTAGGTGTATTTGGGCTAGAGCAACCGCTTACCATCAAAACTATGTGTTCGTTTGTCGCCCTTACTCCTATAAAAATAATAAAATTGCTTTAATAAAAAAATCAAAAGGAATTGTCCTAAGTTTCAAGATAAATGGTATTCCTAGTTCTCACTTTGCACCCGCGAGCCGTTGCAAGTGGAACAGTTAATTCTATTGTTATTTCAGACGCCGACATGGAGTGTCAATTACCTGCATACCGGCATTAGTTGCCTTTATTTATAGCCGTCAATTTCATACCAAAACAAACTGTAATGATTTGTTATGGGGCTAAATGTTTCTGTTTCCATTACGAGTAGGTGTTACGAAGTTGAGACGACATTATATATAAGATTTTTACAATTCGTGACAAGGGCGTCATAACAAAAAAGGAAAAATATTAATGTTTTTATAAGTCAATGCTGCACATGGGCCCATTTGAAGTATAAGGATTTGCTATATATACACGGATGAATCATAAGGATAAAGTACACCTTTAATATATCTGTATTGAAGTCTGGTATTTCACTACATACTACTACTTGTTTGTTTGTTGTAACTAGTTTTCTGTTTTTTCGGTAGAATTGAAATTAAACTAACTTCTCGGTGAACTAGAGTCTTGAAGCTTTATATAGGTATATTTCTGAGCTGGAGGCTGGGATAAACTCACAGTTTTGTCTATCTGTTTGTTTATTTGTCTATTTAGTACAAATAGCAGTGACATTTTAAACTAACTTACCTACGAGTTACATATTTGAACCTTTAGGACTAGAATCGGTGTAAAAATGGTTGCCATTCGAATTATAAACATATAATACATAACATAGAATACATATACACAGAATATAGAACATAGAATATAGATTATATTCGGACGGATTATATATATATCATCCGTCCGAATACAATCTGGACATCTTCAAGGCAAGAGTGAATAGGCTTTTGTTACGCTAAGACAGTGCGATTTGCCATCTGAGGCTGCGTCACCACTTATCACCAGGTGGGATGTGGTCAAGCACTGGTTTATAGAAATTAAAAAAAATTACTCCGAGTCGACTTTTGTGATACCCAGAAAACTGATGAATTTTTTTAATTTTCAGCGCAGAGCAGTCATTCACATTTAATTTGTCTTCGTTTGCCGGAAGGCCTATCTTAAAACTGCAAGTATCTGCGTCGATATAACTTTGTAGCAATTAATTAATTAATATGGCGGTGACCGATCAGTGTCACTTCGATATGCCATACGGGAAGTGTTTATAATTATAAGTTACAAGCTTGAAACGAGTAATTGATGTCACGTTACCATAAGGCTTTTACATTGCTCAAATCGTGAAAAACGCCCAGGTTTACAAATAGTAATATCCGAATCCTTTTGTTTATTTGCTACAAAAAATTAGGTTTTATAGTTTAGATCGTCACAATTTATATGTATTGTTTAAAATTCTTTAATATTTGACCATTATTACAAAAAAAAAATCAAAGGCAAAGGCTGTTTTAAACCTATTTTGTATTTTTTCTCAAGAACTGCTCAATAGTTAAAGATTAAATTTATATTAAAAAATTTGTTAAATCATAATTAAAAAAATGTATTGTTTTTATTTTATTTTTGTTAAACATATTTCTTAAAATATAGTAAAACATAATTTGGCCCCTTTCTGCCACACGAAGTTCCCCCGCTATGGCCCGTTACGGATATTCACCAATCGCCACTCAGCGTCAGTTCGACTCTTGCGACGAATGGATTGTGCGCGCGTTATTTTCTGACAAAAATATTAAAAAGTAAATCGCAATATTTCATATTTATAAAATACAGATTAAACGTAATATATGATAAAAAATTTATAGGAATTAAGTTGATTTATGTAAATAAACTTGTTTCTAGTTTTAGTTTTGTATATAATCGTATCATAGAATCGACTAAGCTTGACAATGCCAAAATACAAAAACAATACAAAAGCAAGACAAAAGTGAAGCGTGGCCAAGCTCTTCAAAACTATTGGTAAGTAAATTATCCTTATTTATTTTCTTTTGCGTAAATACTTATACAGAGTATGGCAGCGTTCCAAAAACTGTCGTGTTCCCTCCTGTTGTATAGGCGGGGAACTTCTTTAGCCGTAAATAAGCTTGGTACTACAAAAACATCTAGTGAAAAACAAATATGAACGTGACCATTTTTGGCTGGTCTGACGCTACAGTCCTGCACTCCAAAGGTGGGTACAGGATCTAAGTGACGGAACCACGTAGAACCATCGTGTATGTACTCATTTTAAAGGGCTCGCAGTTACCTAGCTGTCTGTGATGATTTCACTTACCTTTTGTGAAAATGCTTTTATTGTACTCTTTTGTTGAGAGTGACTGTTGCGATAATATTTCTAATCTAACTTTATGTTTTTAGGCAATTGAGAAATCAGCGGAAATTCCATTCAGAAAATCTGGGCAAAGATTCGTCAACTGAATCTAATGCAGATGCAGCGGAGACTTCGTCGCCAGATATTATGGTAGCTACTTATTTACAATTAAGAGTACCAGTCTATTTTTAATATTGTTAAATTGAACCTTGTCTCTTTGTTCCCCATTGCGCATTAATAACCATTCGTTTTTGGTAAATAAAACGTACTGAGGAAACCGACAAGTCTGAGAACCCATAAAATTTGAGAAATCCTATCCTATATGGTCAATAAAAATAAGCAAGATAATATTATACACGGAAGTTTTTTTGTATATGAATTAAGCAATGTATTACATGATAATTATTTTGTTCTCAGCATCAACAAGATGAAATTTTACCGGATTTAACTATTGAAAAGAATCAACCAGAAACAGAAAAAAGAAATATATCTAGCAGACGAATTGTTGATATAAAATCCTTTTTTTTTCAAAATTGCAAGAAATCAACAATCATAGCCCATATAACTGTGGAGTAAAAAGTCTAAAAATTGTTGGGGAGAAACGAGTTGGATTGTTATCCAAGTTTATTCTAGAATGTTTAATGTGTAAAGTAAAGTTTTTTATTAAATAATATCCCAGGTGATCTGGAAAAATACAGAATCAGTCGCTGGTGCATCGATGTGTAAAGAAAAGTGTATTTTAAATGTCTCCGGTAATCTGGACATAAATACAGCTGTGGTTGCCGGTGCAGTTTCTGTTGGTATAGGCTACACAAAATTAGATGAATTACTATCAGCGATCGATTTACCTATTTGATATGATGACCAAGCATCTGTACCAAAAATAGCACGAGTTTGTTTCTAACGCCTGGGAAAAAGCACTTGGTCAATCCATGCAAGAAGCCGCAGAAGGAGAAAAAAGGATTGCTTTAGAAAAAAGTCGTATGACCACTGATGCCATTCCTATTATAGATGTTATTGCTGATGGATGTCGGAGTAATAGGTCTTACAAAAAGAATAAGGTAGTTTATCAGGTAATTTAGAAATAAATAAAAACCACAACTGGTTCTACCAGGTATAAGGGCAGTTGCACGTGGCTCGCAAAGCAAAATGTGTATTCGCTGTATGGTTCAGTGAGTCACAACCACTGAAAACGGAAGTTATTTATAGGGATGATGATTTTTTGAAACCAAAATGAAGTCAAAATTATGCAATTTTTATTTAAATTGTATATTGCTTGAAATTTTAGACCCAAGACATATTATAAATGTGGAAATACGTAATCCAATCTACATAATTGAATTTATTAAAAAAATAGAAAAAAAAAACTTGAAATCTCCAAGAGGAAAATACAACGTATAATTCCAATTGATGAGCAGGAAGAAAATACAATGCTTTCCTTATATCAAGAATCGACACGGTCATCAACATCAGTAATTCTAGAAGCGGAACAGCCAACCTGTTCACGATACTTAGATTATAATGAATTTTAACTTGCAAAAAATATTCAACGGTTGATTTAATCTTGACAGATTTATGGTGTGCCTAACATGTTATCATAAAATAATTAAAAAAAAGTACGCAAAGTTTGTTTCCTCTTTTAATTAATTTAGCACTTACATATATGAGCCAGATCATCACTAGACCTTCAGAATATTGATCGTAGCAACGTCCGTGATAAATATGACAGTAACTGAAAACTAAATCTTTCTCACTATTTCCATGGCCGAGAACTCCTTAAAATTACCTGTTCATCCACATACCTTCACAAAGTGTCACGTAGCAGCGTCCGTACTGAATATGAGAGTTTTTGAAAATTAAATCTTCCTAACCATTTCCATTGCCGAGAACCACTTGGTACTTACCTGGTCATCCACATATCTTCGCGAAGTGTCACGCAGTAGGGTCTGCGTTAAATATGAGACTTTCTGAAAACTAAATCTTCCTAACCATTTCCATTGCTGAGAACCACTAACGTTCTTACCTGGTCATCCACATACCTTCACAAAGTGTCACGTAGCAACGTCCGTGCTGAATATGAGACTTTCTGAAAACTAAATCTTCCTAACCATTTCCATTGCTGAGAACCACTAAGGTTCTTACCTGGTCATCCACATACCTTCACAAAGTGTCACGTAGCAACGTCCGTGCTGAATATGAGACTTTCTGAAAACTAAATCTTCCTAACCATTTCCATTGCTGAGAACCACTAACGTTCTTACCTGGTCATCCACATACCTTCACAAAGTGTCACGTAGCAACGTCCGTGCTGAATATGAGACTTTCTGAAAACTAAATCTTCCTAACCATTTCCATTGCTGAGAACCACTAACGTTCTTACCTGGTCATCCACATACCTTCACAAAGTGTCACGTAGCAACGTCCGTGCTGAATATGAGACTTTCTGAAAACTAAATCTTCCTAACCATTTCCATTGCTGAGAACCACTAAGGTTCTTACCTGGTCATCCACATACCTTCACAAAGTATCACGTAGCAACGTCCGTGCTGAATATGAGACTTTCTGAAAACTAAATCTTCCTAACCATTTCCATTGCCGAGAACCACTTGGTACTTACCTGGTCATCCACATATCTTCGCGAAGTGTCACGCAGTAGGGTCTGCGTTGAATATGAGAGTTTCTAAAAAAGTAAATCTTCCTAACCATTTCCATTGGTAACAACCACTTGGTACTTACCTGGTCATCCACATACCTTCACAAAGTGTCATATAGCAACGTCCGTGCTGATTATGAGAGTTTCCGAAAACTAAATCTGTCTAACCATTTCCATTGCTGAGAACCACTTGGTAGGCTTGGTACTTACGTGGTCATCCATATACCTTCACAAAGTGTCACGTATACAGAACCCGTGCCGAATATGACAGTTTCTGAACACTAAATCTTCCTAACCACTTCCATTGCTGAGAACCACTAACGTTCTTACCTGGTCATCCACATACCTTCACAAAGTGTCACGTAGCAACGTCCGTGCTGAATATGAGACTTTCTGAAAACTAAATCTTCCTAACCATTTCCATTGCTGAGAACCACTAAGGTTCTTACCTGGTCATCCACATACCTTCACAAAGTGTCACGTAGCAACGTCCGTGCTGAATATGAGACTTTCTGAAAACTAAATCTTCCTAACCATTTCCATTGCTGAGAACCACTAACGTTCTTACCTGGTCATCCACATACCTTCAAAAAGTGTCACGTAGCAACGTCCGTGCTGAATATGAGACTTTCTGAAAACTAAATCTTCCTAACCATTTCCATTGCCGAGAACCACTTGGTACTTACCTGGTCATCCACATATCTTCGCGAAGTGTCACGCAGTAGGGTCTGCGTTGAATATGAGAGTTTCTAAAAAGTAAATCTTCCTAACCATTTCCATTGGTAACAACCACTTGGTACTTACCTGGTCATCCACATACCTTCACAAAGTGTCATATAGCAACGTCCGTGCTGATTATGAGAGTTTCCGAAAACTAAATCTGTCTAACCATTTCCATTGCTGAGAACCACTTGGTAGGCTTGGTACTTACGTGGTCATCCATATACCTTCACAAAGTGTCACGTATACAGAACCCGTGCCGAATATGACAGTTTCTGAACACTAAATCTTCCTAACCATTTCCATTGCTGAGAACCACTAACGTTCTTACCTGGTCATCCACATACCTTCACAAAGTGTCACGTAGCAACGTCCGTGCTGAATATGAGACTTTCTGAAAACTAAATCTTCCTAACCATTTCCATTGCTGAGAACCACTAAGGTTCTTACCTGGTCATCCACATACCTTCACAAAGTGTCACGTAGCAACGTCCGTGCTGAATATGAGACTTTCTGAAAACTAAATCTTCCTAACCATTTCCATTGCTGAGAACCACTAACGTTCTTACCTGGTCATCCACATACCTTCACAAAGTGTCACGTAGCAACGTCCGTGCTGAATATGAGACTTTCTGAAAACTAAATCTTCCTAACCATTTCCATTGCTGAGAACCACTAAGGTTCTTACCTGGTCATCCACATACCTTCACAAAGTGTCACGTAGCAACGTCCGTGCTGAATATGAGACTTTCTGAAAACTAAATCTTCCTAACCATTTCCATTGCTGAGAACCACTAACGTTCTTACCTGGTCATCCACATACCTTCACAAAGTGTCACGTAGCAACGTCCGTGCTGAATATGAGACTTTCTGAAAACTAAATCTTCCTAACCATTTCCATTGCTGAGAACCACTAACGTTCTTACCTGGTCATCCACATACCTTCACAAAGTGTCACGTAGCAACGTCCGTGCTGAATATGAGACTTTCTGAAAACTAAATCTTCCTAACCATTTCCATTGCTGAGAACCACTAAGGTTCTTACCTGGTCATCCACATACCTTCACAAAGTGTCACGTAGCAACGTCCGTGCTGAATATGAGACTTTCTGAAAACTAAATCTTCCTAACCATTTCCATTGCTGAGAACGACTAACGTTCTTACCTGGTCATCCACATACCTTCACAAAGTGTCACGTAGCAACGTCCGTGCTGAATATGAGACTTTCTGAAAACTAAATCTTCCTAACCATTTCCATTGCTGAGAACCACTAACGTTCTTACCTGGTCATCCACATACCTTCACAAAGTGTCACGTAGCAACGTCCGTGCTGAATATGAGACTTTCTGAAAACTAAATCTTCCTAACCATTTCCATTGCTGAGAACCACTAACGTTCTTACCTGGTCATCCACATACCTTCACAAAGTATCACGTAGCAACGTCCGTGCTGCATATGAGACTTTCTGAACACTAAATCTTCCTAACCATTTCCATTGCTGAGAACCACTAACGTTCTTACCTGGTCATCCACATACCTTCACAAAGTGTCACGTAGCAACGTCCGTGCTGAATATGAGACTATCTGAAAACTAAATCTTCCTAACCATTTCCATTGCTGAGAACCACTAACATTCTTACCTGGTCATCCACATACCTTCACAAAGTGTCACGTAGCAACGTCCGTGCTGAATATGAGACTTTCTGAAAACTAAATCTTCCTAACCATTTCCATTGCTGAGAACCACTAACGTTCTTACCTGGTCATCCACATACCTTCACAAAGTGTCACGTAGCAACGTCCGTGCTGAATATGAGACTTTCTGAAAACTAAATCTTCCTAACCATTTCCATTGCTGAGAACCACTAACGTTCTTACCTGGTCATCCACATACCTTCACAAAGTGTCACGTAGCAACGTCCGTGCTGAATATGAGACTTTCTGAAAACTAAATCTTCCTAACCATTTCCATTGCTGAGAACCACTAAGGTTCTTACCTGGTCATCCACATACCTTCACAAAGTGTCACGTAGCAACGTCCGTGCTGAATATGAGACTTTCTGAAAACTAAATCTTCCTAACCATTTCCATTGCTGAGAACCACTAACGTTCTTACCTGGTCATCCACATACCTTCACAAAGTGTCACGTAGCAACGTCCGTGCTGAATATGAGACTTTCTGAAAACTAAATCTTCCTAACCATTTCCATTGCTGAGAACCACTAAGGTTCTTACCTGGTCATCCACATACCTTCACAAAGTGTCACGTAGCAACGTCCGTGCTGAATATGAGACTTTCTGAAAACTAAATCTTCCTAACCATTTCCATTGCTGAGAACCACTAACGTTCTTACCTGGTCATCCACATACCTTCACAAAGTGTCACGTAGCAACGTCCGTGCTGAATATGAGACTTTCTGAAAACTAAATCTTCCTAACCATTTCCATTGCTGAGAACCACTAACGTTCTTACCTGGTCATCC